AGGTGGGGGGGGTTTCAGGGGGGTCTCCCCCCTGATAAAATTTTATGAATAGATCTACGGGTCCGAGATTCTCCTACTTTGAGAGATAAAAACTGGGGAAAATCATGAATTCCAAAGGTTGAGACATAGGCAAAGACCAAAGTCAGTCCGCTGGTCCGGTATTCTTCAATCTTACCCAGAGCAGAATTGAGGGCTTGGGGTAGGGGTAGGGGTAGGGGTAGGGGTAGGAGTAGGGGTAGGGTTAAGTCTAGGCCTCTTCTTTATTGTGTTTGATGGGGTGGTCGCTCATTACGGAAGTCCTCCCACTGTAGGACTACTAAGCCTAGGAACAAGATCTAAATATCTCGGTCAGAGACGACCCACTGTTGTGTCTGACTGAGTGTTCAACTGAAAAATTGAAGTAATATGAGAAGGTCGAAGTACACGTAAAATCTACGATTCTAACTTTAAACATTTCCCAACTAACTTAAAGAGCCTTTACAAAATATATCCGCTTCAACCCCAGAGAAAAACTTAGGCTAACGAAAGAAAATAATGCATGACCATGGCCGATTATTCAGTGAATCTAGCATTCTAGCCTAATCAAGAGTTACAATCAAGAGCTCCTGAAAGTTACAGTTAGGCCTCTATAATCTTGTTAGCCCATGGGCCATGGAGTGAATGCCAATAATTACTGAATGAACATAAACCGAAACAATCAGCCCATAAAACGTACAAGCAATAGGTTGATAAAGCCTTCATAGAAGAAGAAAATATAACTGAAGCAAACAAATATACTGCTGTACAATTTTCATTTGAAGATAGTGAACTCGAAAACTTTTTAAGTTAAAGTTTACAGAAGTTTGTTGTTTTAGTTTACAGCGAACCCCATGCTTGACGAGAACAACACAACATCCCCATCCCAGACTGGTCAACTCTTGCACGCTTCAGTTTTTCTCGATTTTTTAAAACCACTTAAAAAGTATAAATCTGTCTAAAAGTTTGGTACATACTTTTGACCAGTGTCCAAGCACAAGGGAAGGGCGACACCGGAGTCAGTATCAATATCGTATGTACATCCTTTGATTTCCTAGCACACTCCACTTTAGAGGCTACAACATAGGCCTACACCACTGACACCGAAAAAAAAGCCCACTGACCTCGTAATCGGCAGGCGATTGGTTCTGCGCCGATATAATTCGTGTAGAGCTACGAGAAACGAGGGCAGCGAAAGTTTCGCACACAAAAACAAGCCCAACCCCCACACCCCTACCCAAGTGGAACATTTTGACCTACTTCGTTCGCGCTCATTGTAGGCTCGTCACATTATGTATGCACAATACTTGAGCAGATTTCTGGCAGGTGAACCAATGATCAGAATGCAGTATGCTGTTCGTGCGAGCTTGATTGCACTGTTCTTCACCTTTTTGACTTTTACCGTTGGGTATACCCTGTTCTCTTTGGCCGTTTATCGCCGGTCTATAAAAACAAACGAAAGTTATTCCGCTTATATTATTGTTTAGGCGTTTGTCTTATGAATCTCTTAGGCTAAATTAATAATAAATGCGTTTGAGGACGCGTACTTGTGAGTCAGTGTTTGTTGCGTGTTGTGCGACACACACACACACACACACACACACACACACACGCACACACACACACGCACACACACACACACACACTCTGTCACTCTCACC